GGGCAGGCGGGAATCGAACTCATGCAGAAGTGGCTTAAGCTTCTTAGTGCTGTGCTTTAACCCGCTGCGCCACCAGGGAGGGCCCCCTTGAGTTTTATATTACAATCATAATGGATTCCCCACAGTTCCTGAACACAACTCTCCCATGACTTTGCATATGCTGTTCTCTCTTCCTGGCATCTTCCCTTCCTAAACCTGATGAGAGTGGGATCCTGTATTTTTTGTTTTTCCACCACAGAATCTAGCAGAATGCTGAACAGAGTTGTTAAATATCTTTTATAAAATTGCTAGTGGAAAGATATTTGTCTGGTTATAGTATCCTACTGACTCAGCTACAACGTGGGGTTCCAGGTTCTCTTCCTACAGTGCTGGCACATTGCTGTGGCTGCCATTAGCTGACACAAATGACTGCTCAGTGAGTAAAGGATGATAAATACTCTCATACTGCTCACAAAAGCATTAGTAAATCAGAGAAGTCTTTCTAAAACTTGAGTTTCCAGTGTTCAGAACACCCCCACACTTTCTTAAAATTGATTTTTGTTCATTTTTGGCTTTTAGCTACTCCCATATAGTTCACTAGATGGAATCACAGCTTTGGTTCGTTTAACTCTTTTTATACATCATAGATTAAGACCTTTCATCTTTAAAAAAAAAAAAAAGGTCTTTCATCTTACCTAGGAAAAGTATTCGAGGAATATAACCCCCATCAGGGCTGAAATCTTCATCTTTTGGCTCTTCTTCATCCTAGTAAATGTAAATCTTATGTTACATCATGTCCCCTCTTTCTGCAAAAACTGTCAGTGACTTTCCCACTTGCCCAGGATAAAACCCCAAGCAGTGGCCTAAGAGGTCTCACAATGATACACCTCTAGCTACATGGCTGTCCCTTGTTCTATCTTTTTCAACCATACTAATCTGCTTGTTGTTGCTCCTAATTCTCTTCTGTCTGGCCACATTTTCCCCATTATCCACATAGCTCCTGTTGCTTCAAATCTTTGCTCAAATGTCACCTTTTCTAACCATGTATTAAAAATTGCAAACATTCCCTCTCCATCCTTCAATTTCAGCCACAGCATTAATTGCCATCTGACTTATTTTACTTGTGTCTCTTCATATTCAACTCCCTATATGAATCTGACTGTTCTATTCATTGCTGAATCCAATATCTGTATCAGTCACTTGCACATGGTATTTCCTGAAAGCATGACATTATTCAAACTGACATTTTAGCTACAATTGTAGAGTTGTTCTTTGAAGAGCTTCAACCACACAAGCAGCTTTCTTTTTAAGAAATCTCCAAAGCTGCAGAATGTTCACTGAAGATATTTCTGTTAACACTGAGCAGTGATTCTAATTTTAAAACTGATGAAAAGTTCATATGCAGAGCAATAGCAATCACTGGTAATTTTGTCATTTATGGTATGGTTCACATTTTAGGAGTTTAATGGAGTCATGTCTTCAAACTGTAGTATAATTTTGCCTTGAGTGCCTTGAATAGTCTAACCTAAATGGCAGCACAGTTAGGTCATAGCACCTATTCTTAGCATTTACTAGGCTCTATGATCTTGATTCAATCACTGAACTTTGTCATATCTGAGTTGCTTTCTGTAAAATTAGCCTAACAATCCCTTCTGTCAGGTATGACATTATGACTTAGGATTCCAAGACCTGTCATCTACATGAAGTATGTAAATGATACCTAATGCATAAATAGGAAGGTAGTACAACAGAGCAGGTACTTATTTTCATCACATTTTACAAGGAGTTGTGGCCTACACATGAGATTATATCTTTAGTTCAGTTATACAAAGATGTAAAATATGTCATAATCACAGACTAAATATGAAGGGCCTTAACAGTAGTATTATCCACTCTCTCTTCTCCAGCTTCCACAAGTGAAAGCTAAATGTCTATCAGATCTGACACAAACCCTAAAAGTGAAGAGACAAACACACACAGGTAGCCACCCCTGCTGAATATTTTATATCATTCAGGATGCCAATCTACAACAGCAAAGATTTAAAATCATTAACAAAAAGGAAAAACTCTTAAAAGGCTTACCTCAAGATTTACCATAACAAAATTATGGGAGAGTTCTGAAATTTCTGTAGATTCTGCAAATTTGGGCTTTAAAGCTGGGGGTGGGGTGGGTGGGGAAGATTTGGAATAGAAGAAAACAGCAGTCATATTCATGCCTTAATTCGTTTGTCATTCATGTAAATCAATCTTTTTAACATTGAGATCAGAGCACCTGAATTCTGACCCTACTTTTGATACTTTACTCGCATAGCTATATGATCTTGAGTAATTTGCTTCATTATTTTTATGCTTTGCCTTATCTATAAAACATGGGTAATGGCTAACAAATTAAAAAATTATTACATTTCAATAACTTCTTTTCAAGAATAAGTAGTGGAATAACAATACTCTACCATTAACACATCTATACTACTACATACTTTTTACACAAATTTTATACACCTTTCCAATTAGGATTTCATTCAGGGTGACACAGTAAACAAGATAAAACCTGTAAGTGGCAGGGTGGTACAGTAGGAAGAATACATGCTAGTTAGATAATCTTGAGCTCTAATTTCATTCCCACCTACTTCTCATGTCACTGTGCATGATTTTAGTATCCTCTAAATTTTACTCTCTGTATGATGATTTTAGCTCTTAGTAGTCTATACTATCACATCTTACTGCCTCACCTTCCTTACAAAAATTCCTTGCAAATATAATTACAACTTTGTTAAGGGCAGGGAATTTACATCATATATTTCTTTGGTATGACCTAAAGCAATCAGTAATTCTGGAACAGAGTCAGTGTTATTATTTTTTTAAATGGTAATACTTGAGAAAACATTTACAGACTGTCTGATGAGTGAGAAATAATATCAGCTTACCTTTGCAAGCTCCACACCAGGACTTATGGATAATCACCATCAAGGGCAATCCACTTAAAAACAAGACAAAACAATTACTATCTAGTAATTTTACTTCTTGAAATTGAGCAAAATGACTAGTTTATGAAGACAAAGAATAATGTACTAAAATGTCAGTGAAAATTTTTCATTGGTATCGTGCTAAAATTAAAAGCCCGATATAAAATTCTCCATGGCTTACATTATACAAATCTGTAGAGAACAGAAAGTGTAACATAATAGCACACACCAAAACATAATAGCAGTTATTGGTACTTTCAGAGACTTAAAAGTTTTTTTTGTTTTTTTTTAATAGTGAATATAATCTACTTGAGTCACTGCACTTACCACATGAAACTTAATCTATTCTTTACCCATCTCCCCTCAATGGATGTATAGATTCCCAAAGGAAGGAACTCTTGTATCTATAACCCCTAGATCTAGCATACAGAATATTATTGACAGCAGTTATACGGCATTTACTGTGTGCAAGGCACATAGCAAAGATACATGTGAGTCAATCAATTTAGTAAGTGTCAAATGAATTATTAAGCCACCTCACCAAAGGCCTACTATAAATACAGGACACATGGGCCTATAATACCCATGAAAGCTTGTGAACCAAATGAGCAGGGCAAACTTAAGAAGTAGGTTCTACATAAAAATCATAACAGCTATATGTGCTAACGATAATTTTATGTGCTGCGTGTTTTTCATGTATTATCACATGTAAGTGCTCGTAACAATCCTAAGGTAGATGATACTAATGATCTCATAACATAGCTGAGAAAACTAAGACTCCCAAGAGTATAACAATTTACCCACACAGAATCTAGATTCTGCCACTTGCTAGCCTACTCATTAGTGTGACTACAAAACAATGATCTCTCTGACCACTATAGTCTGGCCCAATGTATAATGGCAATCCAAAATACAAATAATCAACTTGGCACCAGAATTAGGCTGGAAAAGGTTTTAGTGGTTGCCTGGTCTACATTTGTTTCAAGCACAAATCCTTCCATATATCAGAATGAAAAGATGCTCCAGACTGTCTGATGAGCAAGAAATAACATCACCAAGACAGCCCATCCTCTCAATACCTCTGTGTACTTACAAAGCAATTTAGAGTATCTTGCTCCCTCCTTTCTATCTAGCAAACTCCTATTCCTCCTCCTAGAGCAGAAGTCAGTAAACCAGCCTACACACCTAACCCAGTCCAGTGCCTACTTCTGTAGAGCTAGGAGATACAAATTCTTTTTTCCACATTCTTAAACTGAAAAACCCTAAAATTAGTTATCTAATCAAATGTTAAATTAAATATAATTAATGTTTCAATGTAGTTCATTGAAACAGTCACAACCACTTGTATACTTAAGCGGTTGCTTTAATGCTACATAAGCTACAGCAGAGACCCCCATGGCCCAGAAAGCCTAAAAAAAAACCTATCTTTTAGCCCTGTGCTAGTTCCTGCTCTAAAGTGACAGTTCAAATATTAAACCATCTAGGAAACCTACCCCCAAACACCTTTTCTCATCAGCTGGTTAGTCCTTTTCTCCTCTAGGCTGCCAAAGCATTCAGTCATCATCCTCTAGCCCCCCCCAAACTGTTACCTGTTAACTGTATTTCACATCAAACTTAATTTCTCAAGGGCAAAGACTCTAGCTAACTCATCTTTGAAAAATTACAAGTATTCAACCATCCATTTAATGAAATCAGTGAACAAACGGAAGCCATTTAAAGCGATATTTGCCTTGAAATACAGAATGTAAAGCAGAGTTGTGTATATCACTCCAGGTTTTAGACCATGTATCTAGTCTCTCACTTCAAACTACCAAAGATATATTGCAGTGGAAAGCTCAACAGTGACAGTGTACCTAAAATATTATAAGTAAATTACATAAGTTACAGCAAAGTGAAAGAGATTCCAGCAGACCCTCTTCTTCTAAAAGATTTTATTAGGTAAAATTATTTGGTGGTTATGTTTTCTTCACTTCCACTAGAATCAAAACTTGCTTCCCAAGGGCAGAAACAAAAGGTTTATTTGTGGGCAAAGGTCCCAGAATAGAAAGCAGCAAAAAATGATTCAGTACCAAAAACTGTGAAATGACAGAAGGGTCAGAACAGATGCAGAACTGTGTCATCTTCGGTCTCTGCTCACAATTGTTTTTAAAAATAAATCATCCATCCAGTCTGTTCTCCCATAACTCCAATGCAAGGGGGAAACCAGTGGTGTGTGATAACCCACATGGAACCCAATCTAAGCAAACTGAGCTCTGTCTTCAGAGAAATTTGCCAAGATCCTCCAAGCTAGATCTCTGATGTCAGTTCTCAAAATCAGTCACAATAGCTGAGTACCACACATCAATAGCTCTGCAAACCTTTAGACAATTCTTCCCAAAGAAATTAAAGCAGTGCAGATTAAGAGCCATGGCTTTCTCCTTTATCTTCTGCTTAATGGAGGCTCTGGCTTAGATACTGCAGAAACATGTTGGCCAACTGAGGCAGGTTCTCATTGTTAGGATGCATTTTGGTGTAGGAAATAAACTGGCGACGAAGACGACTCAATTCTGCCATGGTCAAGGGCCTGGTAAACCGCAGGTGCTCCGTGGTACCAGGAAGCTTAAGGAAGTCTCCAGGGAGGGCGCTTTTTTGCGCTTCCATCAATCCCACCAACACCTGGCTGGTAACCTGATCCAACTGGTGTAGAAAGCTGCTGGAGGCAAGGGGCTGAGACTGGGTAGACTGATGGGGTGGAGGAGCCTGGTTTTCAAACAAGGCTGCGCGAATCTCCGCCAGCGGCAATGGCTCCTCCAAGCCCACCAACGTGAACAGGGGCCTATCCCAGCGGTTCCGAGAGTCTGGGGCCTCAAAGCGCAACATTAGAGCCTCCAGAAGTTCCGGAGGGTAAAAGGCACTGGACATATGCTTTGAAGAGTTCTCAAATTCTGGAGTCACGACAGCTGGAAGATGTGGTGCCCTGGTTTCCTCCGGTCCCAGTTCCTTAGGTACGCTGTCCTGGGCGCTCCCATTCACAGAATCCACAGTTTGCGGTTCCCCGAGAACACGGATGCCGGCAACGAGTGTTCTCCCGCCCTTCTCAGAGCGCGGGGTCCAACTTACACTGAGGTTCCGGCTCCGCCTCTCCTCCGTGTCGGCCACCTGGGGGCCCCCGCTCAGACGGCTTGGCTGTACGCAATAGACCAGGCACAGGGGGGTGCGCGCTGCCCGCGCCAGACAGTAGAGCTCGTAGCGGAAGCCCTTGATGTAATTAAGCGAATCGAGAATGACCACATCGTGGCGACTCAGGCGCCGCTCTACCGCGGCTCGCAGGGCCCCACGCAACGCCTTCTCACGGGCCGCATCGCTGTACACTGTTGCGTCCTCCGCACCCAGCACTGCCGCGTCGTCCACCACGTATACCGTGTGGCCCTCGGCCGCCAGCGCCCCACGGAGCAACTCCGCCCGCCGGCTCTTGCCGCAGTACGGCAACCCACAAAACACGACGAGCGGCATTTCCCCCCGGTGCGGCCATGTGCAAACGCGCCGTGACAACTTCCGGGTTTACGGCACATCCGACGCAACCCGGAAACGCAAACTGCACATCCTGTCTTCTTAGACTCTTAAGGAAGCTCTCGTTGCTATAGAAACAGCTCTCTGCCATCTAAACCCTAATGCTGCTCTCCAAGAACGGAGACTATTTAAGTCAGCTGTTAAAGGCTCAGAAGCGATCGTCTTGAGACTAAAGACTATGCCCATGCATTTGTAATGGGCCTTAAAGAGCGTTATATACTGCAAAACAGTAAGTACTATATATTTAGAACACTGAAGGCAGTTCACAAATGCTAGTTCTTCATTCCTTACACGCAGTAGCTGTTTATTTAATAACCATTTCAATTGTTCAACATCTCCAGGCTGGGGGATTCAGAAAAGAAGGTTACACAGTTCCCCCATACGAAACTGCACGGATACTGGGTTTTAGTAACCCTTCAGTAGAGAATACTCAACCCTTGGTTCTGTCACATAACTATGTAAATAAATAAACTTTGGCAATTTTTACCCATTCTGTATTTATTTCCTCTCCTGTAAAATAATAACAGTTCTTATTTCACAGCCTGAACCAAACTCATAGGTTGTGAGGAGTAAATAAATGAATGCATGGAAAGTCCTTAGAGTCCTGTTTATTTCCCTCTCTCATGCTCAGTCTTCTCCTTCTTTCTATGAGTTGGCTGTGCATAGACTACATCTACTTAGAACTTGAGATGACGTAACTTGAGATCATTAGATAATTCGTTTACTAGTTGAGTATAGGCTCTTAAGAAAGAGGACCAAATCTTGGCTTAGCTACTTGATAGCTGTGCAGTTTTCGCAAGTTGTTTAACTGCTCTGTACCTTAGTTTCCTCACTGCTAAAATAAAATGGGTAGAATAGTACCCACTGCAAAAAAGTTATGAGAATTAAATGAGTCAGTTAATTCAATGTCTGGTACATAAAAACTGCTTAATGTTAGCTATTATTACTGCTATTGTTAGGCAAGTATAACTCATTTCTTGCAGGCTTGGAATAACCCTTCACCTGAAATTAATACTATGTTGATGGCTAAAAAGTGTTTTACCACCATAAATAATCCTAAACCATGTCTTGTACCTGGCAGCTGCTTCTCTCTTCCCATCTTCTAGTGTTCTCCAATGAATGTGCTCTCCAAAGCCTGGAAGGAAAGAGTCTTATAAACATTCACATATGAACAAAGCACAAAGACCTAAAAATAAAAAAAGTGGTATGTTCACAAGAAACCCATTAAAAGGCTTTCCTATCAAGTGCATGGTGGTTGAGTGTTCTAAGTACATGAAACCATGGATATCCCCATACCACAAATCTTGGTTTTCATGCCTGTAAAATGGAGATGACATTGCCTACGTCATAGGTTTTAAGGAGAGCAAATTAAATCATGTGTTTGTAATCTAACAGATTATGCAAATAATACTGTCAGAATAAATCAGGTATTTCCAGAGTAAAAAGAGTAAGTCTTAACAAATCATTACTTATTGGAGATAATACAAAAATAGAGCTTTAGAGTCAGAGAGATATGAGAGTGGGATGTCAACTTCCACTTTCTATTAAATGTGGGATATTTTGTAAATGAAGCGAGCTCCCCATTTCCCAATTTCTTATCCTAGAAAATTAAGAAAAAATACCTATGTCCAAGTCTTGGTGTAAGGAGTAGAGGCAATAATGTAGATGAGCATAAGGAAGCAGTATGCAAATTAACCATGCCACTTTTCATTCCCAACAGCATGGGCTGCTAGCCAAAAGAAAATGTGACTGAGGCTCAAAGTCTAACCTGAGGAAGAGATGATTAAGTGAGAGTAAAATTGGGAGGATGCCCAGAAAGATGCCTAATGTGATCAACATCATTCTACCTGGCAGTATCTAAACTCAAACAAATGAATCCTGCTTTTTGGGGTGGGGGGGAGGTAAGGGGTGGGTAAGGTGAAAGGGGTTGTCTTCTAAATAGTCTGTCATCCAACTACAAAACAATGAAGTCCTAGATCCTCGAATGGATTTTCAAAATTGTCCAATGCTGGGTTCATAGTAATAAACACATATACACACAAGGAGGAAGAGTGAGCAACAAACAAAAAGTAAGGCTGAGCAGAAAGCAAATTTTTATTGTGGAGACTAGAGTAATTCAAGTTGGCAGTCTCTTCTGGTTTGCAGATGATCAAAAGCTAAATCTTCCCAGGGGATAGTATTCCCTACTTCAGGCCTCCCAATGGCCAATGATAAAGAACCATTATTAATTCAAAATAGTAGACCCTTAACATATAAGTAACAAATTATAAAAAAGAATCAGCAAAAGCTGACTTAGATGCCTAAGAATTTCAGCATTAGAATTATAAGTCACAGGACATAAAAATAACTATGCATGAATGTTTTAAAAATAACTCATGGGATGACAAAAACAGAAATACAACAGGCTAAATTAGACAAATGTAAAGGATGACAAAAACAGAAATTAGGTTAAATTAGACAAATGTATGAAGGCACCAAAATAGAGCTTTAAGAAATTAAAAAATACTGCTATTAAAATACAAACTCAGTGGATATCCAGGGTTAAAAAGAAATAAGCTATTAAGCCACAACAGATACAGACGAAACTTAGATGCACATAAACCAACAAAAGAAGCCAATCTGAAAAGCTCCATATGATTTCACTGTAAGACATGCTGGAACAGATAGTAAAAAGATCAGTGGTTGCTAGGGATTCGTAGATAAAGGAGAAATGAGTGGGTGGAACAGTTTTTATTCCAGTGAAACTATTCTGTATAATTCTGTAATAGTGAATATGTGTTTTTTGGGCTAAGAAATTTAAGCTCTCTCCCCACCCCTACCCCCACACATATATATTGAAATTCTAACTCCCAGTATCTCTGAAAATGACTGTTTGGGGAGACAGACTCTTTAAAGAGGTAATTAAGTTAAAGAGAGGTCACTAGGGTGGGCCCTAATCCAGTAAGAGGAGTATCCTTGTATATATAAAAAATGATTAGGATACAGAGAAACAGAGGGAACATCATATGAAGACACAGAAGACAGCCATCTACAAAAAACAAACACACACAAAAAAAAAACCACTGCCAATGATTTGATCTTGAACTTCTAGCCTCCAGAACTTTAAGATAATAAATTTCCACTTTCAATCTGTGGTATTTGTTATGGCAGACAAACAAACTAAATATATGTTCTTACATATTTGTCAGAATCCACAAAATGTATAGCAAAGAGAGTGAAGCCTGATGTAAACCATGGATTTTAGTTATAATAATAACATGTTAATATTGGCTCACCAACTGTAACAGACATACTACACAAATGCAAGGTGTTAATAATAGTGGAAATTAGAGGCTAGGTAGGTGACAAGACTTAGAAACTCTTTCTCCTTTTGTTTTTAATTTTCTACTCACTGTTTCTAAAGCCTAACACTGCTCAAAACACAAGATCATTTTTTTAAACAAGTCACTATATGAGTTAACACAGCAAATTGGAGATAGGTAGAAAGATAGAGCAGAAATTATCCAGACTGCAGCAGGTAAGCAGGGAGAAAATATGGAGAGACCAAAATATACAAAGTAAACAAAAACTAGTATACACGGAGTCTCAGAATGAAAAGATGAAAAAAAAGGAGAATCTTGAAGAGATAATATCACTGAAATAGAGTATTGGGTAACTGGTGGTTAAGAGTAGGAGGGAAACAATACTTTTTAAAGTGTTTAACCAAGTTGTCAGCACATGCCTATTATTTAAAGCCTGAGACTGAATAAGAGCACAAAGGGAGTGATTACTGATAGAGAAGGAGTCTAAGAACCATGAAGCATTTCCAGGTTAAGGGAGATAAAGTACCAGGCAAGGACATGAAAAGAAATTATCAGTGAGATGGGCAGAAAATCAGCAGCACATGGCATCCTAGAATCCAGGCATTTCTAGCATGTTTCAGTAAGGAAGGATGATCAACTTACTCCACTACTGCTGCTAAATCAGAAATGACCACTAGATTGAGCAACTGAAGAATGATGGTGACTTTGACAAGGCAAGTTTTTCTAGAAGAGTGAGGATGAAAGGTTGTGCAAAGCAAGATCAACATAGCCCTAGACAGGAATGAGAGAAAAAGTACCTACAACCCAAGTACCTACAATTCTTTCAAAGAATTTTGCTGGGGGGCAGGGAGAGGAGTTGCTAATGGGAGCAGTGAGTTGAGGAAGGGATTTTTCAATATAGAAGTAGAGGATGTTGAAAGCTGACACAAATAACACAATAAAGATAAGAAAATTGATTATTTAAGAAATCACTGGTAAAGGTTGCATAGTGAGATGGGATTTAATACTCAAGTAGTGGGTTTTCACTTTGCTTGAACCAATAATTTTTCTATTAAAAACAGCAAAAAGGGCTTCCCTGGTGGTGAAAGGAATTAAAATTTTCAGCACTATGAAACTGTTGGCAGCCACTGCAGCATGAGGTTGATCCTGGGCCAGGGAGCTGATCTATATGGCATAGCAGAGCTCCCTTGACCCACCCAATGCTCCCTTCAGCAATGTATTTCAGTAGATCCATCTGTTCTGCTCCCCAGTCTGTCTCTGGTGAATCTTCTCACCCTCCACACCTCTAGGCTATTATATGCATAAATAAATAAATCTTTAAAAAAATAAATAAATAAGGGCCCTCCCGGGTGGGGCAATTTAAAGCACAGGACTACTAAGCTAGCTATAGCTGTTTCAGCACCAGTTCAATCCCTGGACAGGTAAGTGACCCACATGGTGTGGCAGACCTTTCCTTTCTCACCAGCTGCTGCTCCCCTCATCAGTGTACTTGATCAGTCTGCCCATTCTACTCCCTGCTCTGTCTCTTATGAATCCTCTCACCACCCCTGCACCTTTGGCCTGTGCTCCAGTTCTGTATACATAAATTTTTTTTAATTTAAAAATAAAGGAGATAAAATAAGCACAAAAATAATACTCAACCCTCAAAAAAAGGGTCCTAAAGGCAGAGAAAGCATGGAGGGGAAACAGTAGCAAAAGAAATCAGATGAAAGAAACACGACCGGCTCAGTAAACTGGGCTAAAACTTGCCGGTCAAATGACTGAAACTGCCCAGATTTGGGTTAATTAAAAAACAAACAAAAAAAACCTCCCTCTATGCTGTTTACAAAAGCATCTAAAACAGGACTTACAAAAGTCCAAGTAAAATAATGACAAAATATATACTTGGCAAATGTTAACCAAAAGAAAGGGAAGCTATATCAATATTGGGTGAAAAACAATCTCTCCATAAACCTGGGCTACTCAGAAGCTAAGTGACAAAGATTACAGTTATTGTAGATTATTGCTAAGAAACCCCAGGGCAGCCATGTTCAACAGAACTTTTTGCAATTATAGAAATATTTCATACCTACACTGTTTAATATGATCGTCACTAGCCACGTGTTTATACTGAGTACTTAAAATGTGGATAATGCAACTGAGGAGGTGGGTTTTAAATTGAGCTTAATTTTAATTAACCTAAAATTTAACAGTGATATGAAACTACTGTATTGGATAGGAGAACTTTAGAGACCAATTAATTCAACCCTCTCATGTTAGCAAGGCCTAGAAAAAGCAAGATGTTGTCCAAGAACATAAAGGAAGCCACACCAGAATTTAGGTCTCCTGATTCCTGGGTACTTTTCCAGTACCCCAACAACACTTCCCTAGCTGTTCTACTATATCATGCTTAAGAGTATGTCAAAAGTGTAATATGAAACAGTTCATGACATTTCTTTGAAAACTCATAGTTAAAAACACATAATGATCACTACCATCATTTTTTGTTTATATAATCATTATAAAAATTATTATCAAAATGTTAATGACTGACATGGTATTTATTTTGTGTCAGGTACTGTTTTTCATGCTTTTACAGATGTTATTTAATCCTCACAATAAGCTTATGAGATAGAGATGTTAATTATCCCCATTACATGATATGGAAGATGAAGTTAAGTAGTTTGTCCAAGGTTAAAATGCCAACAGGCAGACCTGGGAACCTAAGTGGTGGTGATCTAAAGTTTAACCACTTTCTTTACATCCATCTTACTGCATCTCTAGTAATGGCTAAATGAATACATGAATGAAAGAATGTGGCTTCCCCCAAGCAGAATGAAACACTTCAGATCTGGAAAACCTGGGTCTTTCTGTTTCCTTTCAAAAGGAACTTTAAAAAGGTACAATGTTTAACTTGTTACCACAATCATCTATTCCTGGCACTACCCACACTCACACCCATGCCAACAAATGTGGAATTGAAAATAGTCCAGTTTCCTAGAGTCACCTTAATTTATGTCAGGTATCTGCAAAGTGAACTGTAGGCTTCCACGTCAACAGCTCCTTCCTTTAAAATATTATTAAAGGGCCCTCCCTTGTGGCGCAGCGGGTTAAAGCACAGGACTAAGAAGCTTAAGCCACTTCCACATGAGTTCGATTCCCACCTGCCCCAGAGGAGATCCACATGGCATGGCAGACCTCTCCAGACCCGCCCGCTGCTCCCCTAAGCAATGTACTTCGTAGATCTGCCTGCTCTGCGCCTGCCCCCCACTGCCCTCCCACCCCACCTCTGGCGAATCCTCTCACCCTTCGCATCTCTGGCCTGTACCCCAGTTCTATATGAATAATTAAAGTTTAAAAATATATATTATTAAAAAGTAAACTATTATATTATTTTTAAATAAATAAAATAAACTATTATTAAAAGAAAGCAAAGTGAAGGCCTTTCCTGGTGGTGCAGTGGGTTAACGCACAGCACTATGAAGCTATCACAGCCACTGCAGCACTGAATTTGATCCCTGCCAGGGAGGTGACCCTTCTGACCCACCCGCTGGTCCCCTCAGCAGTGTATTTCAGTCCATCTGCCAGTTCAGCTCCCCACTCCATCTCTGGCTTGTACCCCAGGTCTGTATGTATAAATAAATCAATCCTAAAAGAAAAATGCAAAGTGATCATGTATAAATATGGTATTTACAAGATAATTCCAATCCCTTCATCCTGAAATTGTTTTTTTTTTTAAAGATTTATTTATTTGTGCATACATAACTGGGGTACAGGCCAGAGGCTCAGGGGCAGTGAGAGCCTTCACCAGAGACAGAGTGGGGAACAGAACAGGCAGATTGACGAAGTACACTGCTGAGGGGAGCAGTGGGTGGGTCAGGAGAGGTCTGCCACACTATGTGGTCACCTCCGGGGCAGGCGGGAATCGAACTCATGCAGAAGTGGCTTTAGATTCTCAGTGCCGTGCTTTAACCAGGGAGTGAAGCTAAGGACATTACAAAAGTAGTATCTCCACTCAGCTGACAAAATATAGTCAAGTGTCAGAGCAGGCAGCCATACCTTTGAAACAAAGAACACTGTAACGAGGTAGAATAACATGGTAGCTAAATAAAGTCTGTCTGCAGTCAAACCCATCTGGGTTGGAATCCTACTTCCACCACTCTCATATAGAATATAATGGAAGTGATACATTGTGACTTGTAAAGGTGAATGATAAAAATGCTACCATTTCCACTTTGTTCTCTTGGAGCCCTCATTCTTGGAATCCAGACGCCAAACTATGAGGAAGTCCACATGAGAACACCAAAAAAGACTACACAAAGAAGTACAGATCAGCTGGGACTACAGACATCATGGAGCTAGGAGACACACCTTTCCCCTGTGTCTTTATTATGCCCCTGTGTCTTGTCTCTTGGGGCATAAAAAACTCTTTTTTAGGTCACTAAATTTTGGGGCAGTTTATTATTTGTAACAATCACTGGAACAACCACACAGAATATAATGTCTAAAAAGGAATAAAGATACTGAGCATGTGGCTCCAAGATATTACTTCTACCTATCACAAGCATTGGAAATTATTGGTGAGTGCCTGAAACAGTTATTAATAAGCCCATTTTGCAGATGAAGAACTGATCTTTGAGAAATTAAGCAATTTATATAACTGAGTCCACATAGCTGATCAGTGGCAGAGTAAAATAAAACTCAGAACTACACCCACATTCCTAATACTATACTCTTCAGTCTCCCTTAGGACTTACGTTTTTACACTAAATATACTGCAATCTCTTTTAAATGGGATTGTCATTGTTTAAAACTTTCTGTTCCAGCAGAATTCAGTTTGATCACTGTGAAGGAAACCCACATATACTGCCTTCTCAGAGAAGCTGTCAGTGATATTTCTAAGCAATGCTAACTCATTCATCTTCCCCAGCCTTTCCACTCCATCAGTTTAATATTTCCCCAGCACTTATTTCTAGCTGAAACTAAGTCATGTATTCAACTGTTCAGTGTGTCTGTGCTCTCTGGTTTGAATATAAGCACCATGTGAGCAGGAACTTTGTTAGCTGAGTTCACTGCAAGTGCCTAGCACAGTGCCTGAATGTTCACCCAACCTCACCCACCAATACATGTGCCAAATGGGAAGATAATAAGAAATGATTAAAAACAGCAGAAGCATCCACATAAGGTAAGTATAAAACAACAGAAGGGAAGGGAAATCCATGCTACCACTCACCCACTTAGAAAAGCATACACTCTGAATTCAAATACAGGCAATGGAATGGAGTTGGGGACCACAATTTCTATCCTCCATACTGACCCCACAACTCAAAAAATTCATTTTCTTAAGGCATATTGACTGAATTGCAACATGGACAGTTGCAATTCTGGTCTACCACCAGATATTCTATGCTTCACCTTGCTCAACTCCCTAGAAGCAGGTGCTGTTCCCCTCTCTCTCCCTCCTTCCTTGGGGGAAGTGGAGAGGAAGAGATGAGTAGGGGAATCTTAAACTCAGGGTAAATATTTCTACCTACCTAAATCCCCAAAGGTGCTATTTCTCCCAGGAGGAAAGTGAAGGTTCCTGAGGACCTGCCAAGTGAAGGTTCTTGAGGACGTGCACTATCTTGAGCTCTTAAACATGCTTTTTCTGATTTAAGGGCGACTCGTTCCCCCAACAACTTGTGGAGGTCTCAAGTTCAACTTCCCCACCTCAACATTCCCCATACCCGCTACTCCCTAACCCAAGAAATCTTCCTCAAACTCCAAGAGTAGCTGAGGGGATAAAAAAAAAAAAGAAATCTGGAGTAATTTAAGAGGACAGAACAGGCAGAACGGTGTTAGGGCAAGAAGAGGATTATACTGGGCTGGAACCCAGAACGAGTAAAGATTAAGATAAGAACGCGGTCTGACCCTTTCCAAGCCCATTATGTCCATCAGAGGAAGTGATGAGAAGCAGGAAACTGAAGCCCAGCAAACAGGTGGCCCCAAGACGAGGCCGCAGCTCCATGGTGGTAGGTGTGCGGGGCCACCAGGCTGAGCAGACGCAGGGCCGGAGTCCTAGCAGAAGGTCCGCGCGTTCCCCTAGTGAGGTTCAGTCCTACCCCTCGCGTTCCCAGATTTTTTTTTTCTAACCCTGAAGGAAGTGATGTTAGACGGATGTGGGTGGTGCCTCCGGGGTCCGGTTAGGATGGAGAAAGTTTAAAGGTGCAGGTCACGTAGAAGGGTGCGGGAGCTATTCTCGAGCTTGAGTTGCTGGCCCTCTTGAATCAGGATGTCCAGTCCAAGGACCGAGAGGGAAAAAGTGGACCAAGATGGTGGGGGTGGGGAGGAGGCTCGGGAGAACCGTTGCCAGTTGCTTCAGCCAGCAGGTTAGCCCCTCCCCCCAAGAACCGCTGTTCTTGATAGTCGAAACACAAATTATTGATCGGCTAAGTCAGCAGTCCGTAAAAGTGGGCGAGTTGCCCAATGGCCTGGGTCTCCTTTAGCTCTCCGCAATTACACAGGCTAGACAACTAGATTTCATTCTTAGGTTCCTGCATTGGTCTCCGAGGAGACCTGGCTAGCCAGTTCTGTAGTGCGTGGTCTCTTGCCTTGCAAGAATACCCCATGCAGCTCTCGAGAAGTGCTGGCCTTATTTTCCTTCGAAACAGCCATTCTTTTTTTTGAAACAGCAATTCTTACATTCAGGCATGAAGCAACCAACACACGCAAGCTCCGAGAAAACCAAACATGGAACCTGTTATTCCAAAACTCATCTCTTCAGGGAAGGCCTTAAGTTACTGCAGGCATTTAAGTGTAAAGCATCTCGTTAAATCTATTTATTTTTAGTCTTGTTTTTCAACTTTTAGGGTCTGATATTTTTCCTTAACGTTTGACTCCGATATGTAACAAATCCACATTTTCCGTCTCTCCTGCTGGCACTACTTGAGTCGCACTGTGCATACCGGACAAAAGTACACACACACACCCAACAAAACACACAAGCCCTTTCATTGGGCTCCCTACAATTTATAGGCACGGACACAATGGAAAGCGGGGAAACTGCAAGCTCCAGAAGGCAGCGCGGCCACCTGCACCAGCCGCCTCGTTGCCCGGAGGCGCAGAGCGGGCTGGGCTTTGTAGTTCGCAGATGCGCTCCCTGGATAGGCTGCCCCGGTGAGAGAGAGGCGGGGCCGGCGGTGTCACGTGGCTCCGCTCCCGCCGCCGCCGCCGCCTTCGTCTTTCTCTGTCTCGACTAAGGCAGCCATCTTGCTCTTGCCGCGTGCTGGTGTTGGAGGACCCTCCCTGCTTCAGGTGAGACCCCCGGCGGTCCCGCCACTCCACGGCCATAGGACGCTGCGCACGGTCTCCCCCCGCCCTCTTCTTCCGACACCCGCCAACCGCTCGGGTTGCCACTTCCGCCGTGGCGTGCCGAGTGGGGGCGGAGGCGGCTGGCTTGGCCTGTCGGTTACCGGCGGCGCAGCTGGGGGTCGGCACCTGAGGGAAGGTCCCCAGCACCACCGCCCCTTCTCGGGGCCAGCGGGCCCACGCTCTTGCCATCCACCTCCAGTCCCAGTAGGCGGGTCATCTCCCGTCTCTGTGCTATTACTCTCCGATGTCCACAACAGCAATGCTGTGAGCTCTGAGCTTTGTACTGCCCCTCTGCTGTCATCCCATTCTACAGATAGGGGAACTGAGGTTAACAGCCCCCCCCCCTTCCAGTCCCCGGCCTCCAAGCGCTCTGCAGCGAAAAGCGCTGCAGCGCTTTTCACCTCGTAATGGCAGCATTTGTCTATAAGTTTGCCTCCTCGGAGACGTTGCCTTGCTCATCTTTATAACTCCATCACACTGCCTGGTGCATAGTAGGCTGTCAGGAAACTGTTGATTGACCAACCGGCTCAGGGAGTGTTACAGTGTTTAGTGAATGGCGGTTTCAACTTCCGTTCCCACGTTCTTTTCACCGTAGCGGTCTGCTCTGGAGTGGTAACAATAGTTACCAGTTTTTGAGTATGTACTGTGAGCCTTATCCTGTGCTTGATGACCAAACCTTTAACCCTTTAAAACACCAACAAACTCAAGAAGAATACAGGAGAGATACAAGTTCAGAGAAGTACTTTTCAGAAGCCCTAAGTGGTAGAACGTTGATCCTTCTGATTCCAAAGCCTGTGCCTCTCTTAGAGAAATCCTACATAATAAAAAGTTGGGACTTTTTATTTTTATCTCTGCAAACATGATGCATATGAAAGTGTTTATCATACTGCTTGGAACTTAGGCACTCAGTAAAACCTCCTTATTTCCATTCTTGAGTTCTTAAGGAAAGGGGTAAAATACCCTACGGTCCCCAAGGAAGAGCTCATTAATCTTAGGAAATGACTTCTTCCTTTTGGACCTTCCTCTCCAGATCTGCAAAGTTAGGAGGTAAAATTAACGCTTTTCATTTGTTTATAATCTACACCCTGCTGCTACACTGCTTGCAAGTATTTGACATAGCCTGACCTACAAGACAGGAACAACTAATAGTAAAATAAAGTACAAGTTGATTGAGGAATATGGAATTAAACAGGTAGTATTTCTTTTGAGGTTTAGTCCAGATTTGGAGCTTGACATCACAAGCAATCAGTCCAGTCCTCTTTCCTATTTGAATTGCACAATCCCACCCTGTTAGTAGACAAAGGAATACCATTTTTTACTCCCCTGCCACCTTGAGCTTCCAACCTACTTAACATGAGTTTTCTTTGAGAAATTCCTTGGAATCAAGTTTTCCTAGTATCTGCAGTAGAATCATTTTTTCATATGTACATTGTATAAAGAGTTAAATTTTCTTTTGCTTTTCTTTCCAACAAGTCAGTACTCTATCATGACTTCTGTCTTCTCTTGGGGAATATTATTTCAAAATACAAAAAAGTCCTAAAAGCTTTACCCTCTATCTAGCTGTAATTTTCTTTGTTAATTCACTACAACTTCATGGCCAAATTCCTTAGAGAAAAGTAAATTTAAGGAGTGTAAAGGTTGGTGTTTAAATATGGCAAAGTTGAGGTTGGCACACACCTAAATCCACTGGTTTGTACTCTAATCACACTTCCTCTTATGAAAGAGTATTTTTAGCTGCTTGAGCATTGTAATACAGTGCTGAGCAGATTGAGGAATCATATTTGAAACATTATTTGGAAACTGGACTTTCTTTGGCCTTAAAGGAGAGAAATGCACAGTGTCAGGATATAAATTAATAGTTATATAATCTTTGATTCATCTCAGATGAAAACAATGTCTTTTTCATTTGAATGATAACTATAAAGAGGTTAGAGGATTAGCAAAAAAGATTTGACAATAGCTTTGTCCTTTATTCTCTCACATCTCAGTAATCTGTTGATTAACAAAACAAGTAAAGCGAGATTTAACATGGACTTTCATTTGTTTCTGTATTGTGAAATGTTATAAATTAAATTATATATTGAATTTTTTTATTTAGTAGGACTATCACTGACTAGGATTAATGAATTTATAATGTTCTTAGAAATTTTAAAATTAAGATAAACTTTAAAAATCTTATTTTTAAGAGTCTCCTCTTCCCAGCAGTATTAATTGATGATAAATTTTCATCAATTGTGTAATGAGGCATTTTACCCTTTATGCAAGAAAATCTTGACATGCATGACAAAGTATAGTAGTACAAAATGTTGGATGAAATCTATGGAAAATGTTTAAGCAATGCTGTCTGAAAATTTGGTTCTCTTCTCCTCTTATTAACATAACATCTGACCTTGAATAGAGGACATGATTACCTCATATTTTGACTGTTAGACAGCCTGTTGTTGACTATCTTCTTTGTCCAGGTTTTTGTTTTCTATTTGTGATTTACAAAAAATAGACAATGTGATTTAGGAGGAAAAAAGTCTACTTAAAGGTGGTGATAAGAGCTCTCAGCTATAAAAATCTTTGGGGGAAAAGCTGACTTGCCTACAGAGATTTTATAATTGGCTAGGTTTTACTAAATGCCAAGGTAATGAATCATGCTTTTAGGAAGGAATTTCAAATAGGTAACTTTGAATTTCATTCTAGTTTCTGATGTTTATTTCACTCTCATGGTATTATTTCATTTTTGTTCTTTTAATATCTAATGTTCTTCTAGTTTTTGAAGCTAGAATAAGTTATTAATGTTTATTAAGAATATAGACAGTATTACTATGATCATGGTGATGATACATATTGCAAGTTCAGTGACCAGAAGATATTGTTATCATAAACATTTATTTTGGTGAAAAAGTGACTATAACAAATTTATTTTTCCCCCTAGATTTACCAACAGCATGAATCAAGAAAAGTTAGCCAAACTTCAGGCTCAGGTCCGGATAGGGGGCAAGGTGAGTGTGGCCTAAGAAAAACGGCTAGGAGAATGTATGAGTAACTGATAGTATCGTTATTGGATTTGTGGTTGTTGAAACTAAAATCTTTTTGATAATCAAAATCAAACCACATTCCTGTAGGAAAATGATTATTTGGATCTAAAATAGGTAACCCTGATAGCAGTGGAAACAAAGCCATCTTTGTTTAAATCCTCTTTAATATCTGATAGTTATATGACATGAGCAAATTACTCAGCCTCTTTATGCTTCCAGTTTTGCATTCGCAAAATGGAACTGATCCTGCATGAGATTTTGTTTTTTTAAAGATTTATTTATTTATACTTACAGACCTAGAGTACAGAACAGAGGTGGGGGTTGAAAGGATCTGCCAGAAATAGAGTAGGGAGCCGAACAGGTAGATTGACTGAAATAACACTGCTGAGGAGAACAGTGGGCAGGTCAGGAGAGGTCTGCCATGGCTGTGATAGCTTCATAGTGCTGTGCTTTAACCCATTGCACCATCAGAGAGGGCCCAGATGTTTTTAAAGAGTAGCGTAATATATAAAAACAACCTAATGTGGCCTGACACAGAGTAGATGTTTAATGAATGATAACTATTTTTTACTTTGGAGTCATCTACAGGGCATCCCAAATGTTAAGGTAATTTTATTTTGATGGGATACACTGGTTGCTGTAGTTTGGTTCATAAATGGTTTGACTGGAGATGTTCCCGCTGATTTTACATTTTATTCATTACTACGTATTCCTGCCTAATCTTCCATGTTGATGAATATGAACA